TCCCCTCCCAAACAATACCAGACCCTTTAGGTCTGGTAGGAATGTTAGGAGGAACCCCATTAAAAAAAAAAAAAAGTGTGTGGGACTCCCCCAAAGTCATAGCAGGCCCTTAAGGTCTGGTAGGAATGTTAAGGAGAAACCCCACACCAAAAAATGGCGGGTGAAAAATGTTAAAATTCACAACCAGACCCTTGATACGAGCACAGGTCTGGCAGGGCAGTCCCCGTGCCGATGGGGACAAGAGCCTCTTCCCCACAAGCCCTGGGGCGTTGGTTGTGGGGGTGCGGGCAGGGGGCTTATTCACATTAGGGTACCTCTTTAATGAAGGGGCACCCAGATGTGGCCCCCCCTTGTGAATGAGTAAGGGGTACTTGTCCCTCTACTAGCTCCACCCAACTGTTTACATTTGACCAGCACCTGACAGCACTTAGCTGTGAGCCATGATTGGGCAACGTCTTCATTACTTTGTCCAATCATGGCTCTCACAGTGCACCGTGCTGTGATTGGGCAAAGTCTTGGACCTGACCTGTGATCAGGTGCAAGGCTTTACCCAATCAGGGCATCACAAGGCACTGTGCGGTGCGCAATGCCTTGTGGGGCGCTCGGCAGGCAAACAGCAGCCGAACGCCCTGATGTTTCATGTGTTCGCCGAACACACGAACTGCCGATGTTCGAGTCGAACTGTTGGTCAACTCGAACATCGAGACCATCCCTTCTCAGGAGCCCTCAGCCCTGATGCAAGCAGTGGGAGGAGTTATGCAAATATCAAAATGCCCTAATAGGTGGTTGTCAATCTGGAGGCGTGGCCGTTCCTAAGCAGGCTGTATTTGCACACAGGTAACAGCCACATGTGACAATAAGCTTCCATGACTGACAGATCTGAAATCCAATGAATGAAAGGGGGCAGGGCCAGGGGCAGTCAGGCTGAGGAGAAAATGTCTAGATGATACTGGATGTCCTCCAGCCAGGAAATGAGGCGGGCTCTGACGTGCTGCAGCTTCTAATGTGAGAAGCTCTGATTTATAGCATATTCCATCCATAATCACGATTGTGGATGGACTACATGGAGTAGAACCCCATCAAGTATTTTTTTTCCCCAGGAGATTTCCCTTTACTTTCTGTACTGGAGACACAACAGGAAGCGAGAGCAAAGTGATGAGAACAGGAAGGTGTCTCCGCTTCCTGTTTCAGTGACAACTGTAATTTTTTTGGATTTCCCACCACTTCCTGCACCGGTGACAACAAAACAAATAGAGCGATAGAGGGGGAGCAGGTTGGGGGAGGGGTGGCGGGGGTATAACAATGCCTCGATGACAATAGCTCCGCTCATAACTGATGCTGTAAGACAATAATTATGTACATCATACCGCCAGCTGTCGGGCCGAGGCCAAATATGGAGGTGCCCGACCCCCCCCTCGTCGGAGAACAATGCAAGCTAAGAGAGACGGTGGGGGACAGGTGTGGCCCCCCCGGGCCCCTTATAACGTGCCGGGGGGGGGAACGGAGGTCTGCCATAGGACCTAGCACAGGGAAGGCAGCAGGTGCCAGCAGAGGGACTCAGAGCCGCGCAACGCCAACATGGAGGCCATCAAAAAGAAGATGCAGATGCTGAAGCTGGACAAGGAGAACGCGCTGGACCGCGCCGAGCAGGCGGAGACGGAGCAGAAGCAGGTGGAAGAGAAGTGCAAACAGGTACAGGTGGGGTAGGGGAAAGTGGTCCCACAGAGGACCTCAGTCTCCTCTCCCCCAGTGATCAGTCTGCTGCAGGCAGGAGGAAGCATTTCCTCAGTCTCCCAGTGATCAGTCTGCTGCAGGCAGGAGGAAGCATTTCCTCAGTCTCCCAGTGATCAGTCTGCTGCAGGCAGGAGGAAGCATTTCCTCAGTCTCCTCTTCCCCATGGATCAGTCTGCTGCAGGCAAGTTGAAGCATTTCCTCAGTCTCCCCTCCCCCAGTGTTCAGTCTGCTGCAGGCAGGAGGAAGCATTTCCTCAGTCTCCCCTCCCCCAGTGATCAGTCTGCTGAAGGCAGGAGGAAGCATTTCCTCAGTCTCCCC